GGAATAAGGATAGGAAAGGAAGAAGTTAGATTATCATTATTTGCAGATGACATGACACCTTACAAAGAAGACCCCAAAGACTCCACCAAAAAAATTCTAGATTTAATAACAAAAATGTGCAATAGATACTGTGAAATGGGAAGATGTTGTTTAAAAGGAAAATGGAATGAGGATGGGGAGAAGCGGAAAGGAAGGAAGGGAAAAGAGAAAAAAATGCAAGTTAGTTATATTAGTAGGGTCTCTTAGTTCATAGAAAGGAAGAGTTTTCACTAATATCAATTGGAGAATTTTTTTATGCCCATATCTTGTACTCTGAGTAACTACTTTAAAGATAATAATATGCAATATGTTAGCTATTGTTAATTTCTTATCATTTGCTTTGAAACCATGTTTTATCTGTTTTTCCATAAAATAAAAAAAGAGACTGTTGCATGTGGCCATGTGAAGGTAGATGAATGGAAAATGTTGTATGAAGTATACAACAAAAGAATGAAAGGAATGTTGTAACCAATTTGTTATGGCAATAAATAAGTCCAAGAGAAACCCAAGTTTATGGCTTGGAAAACGTTAGTAGTAGACATTAATATAGATACTACAGGAGAGGGAGTGCTTTAGAAGAAGACAATAAGTTCTTTTAAGGGTATGTAGAGCGTAGTTCAGTTCCTGATGTTTCAGGTGCCAAATTTAATACCTGAGTCTGGAGCTAATGAGCTAGATATGAAATGTGGTTTTAGATTAGATTATTTTAGCCATGGCTAAAGTAGTTCAAGTAGGTGATATGCTATTCAAACTAGCATAGTCCTTAAATCTGACAGACAAGTGTTTGAATTCTAGCTATCATTAACCAGCTATTTTCAGCAAATAGTTTAACTTCTCAAGGCTTCAATTTTTTACTTATAAAATAAATATAGCAGCAACCTCATAGAATTACTCATAGATTAAATATAGAGAGTTTACTTTTCCCAGAGTTTTATATGGATTAACATATATCATCATCAGAAACACATGAACATATTACATATTAATGTAATGTGTGTATCTTAACAGGTGCATAAATTTATAGCCTGAGACAAGCAGATAGATTTCCTCAACCAGTGTCACTATGTTCTCAGACAAATGTGTTCAGGGTGCCTACCTGCCAGTCCATTCTAGAAGGTTCCTCCCACAGGAGCAAGGTATTACAATGGGTGCTCCTGTTCTATTTTTTCTCTTTATAGTTGGTTTCCCAGGCTTTAGCCCTCAAGGTGAGGACATTCTGTGTTCTCTCTGTTTGCCAAAATCTGCCCAATCAAGTTCTACCACATTAGCCCAGCCAGCATAAGTCTTTCTGGCTTCTTTTGAAAGGCAGTATTGCTATTTACAAATGTTACTCAGGTAGATATGGGGGGGGGGGGTCATAGCTCTTTTTAAATGACACATGTATGCTATGCAAGAATATCCAGCAATATGGGAAGTGGGAAAAAAAGTTGCTCTAAACAGAGACTACATAGCAAAGAAGACAAAAACTTTAGTAGTAAGGAAAGACTGTCCTAGTTTAAGGGTAAGTGGTTCCAGACTATTCAGCTAAGGGTAAGATAATTCTTCTCTTCAGACCATCCAACTTGGCAAAACCTAGACCTATTATCAAAGTGGATTATTCATAATGTTCTCAATAAAAAAATATGTAGATGGAACTCTACTTAGAAAATTTATGGGTTTACTAACCAGGCAACTACTCAAAATTCCATTTAATTAAATCTGCATATTAAACTTTGAACACATTATAATATCTAATGCTCGCCTTACCTTTGTCATTATTCTTTGAAGTCTTTTGCGTTCAAGCCACCCCCTGACTCGCGCTTGCACAATAGTAATCATTCGAACTATCTTTTTGGTAATTATTAATTTGTTTCTTTTTTGGAACACTTGGAAGATTTCTATGTGCGGTCCAATTCTTTTAACTTTACTGCCCAATTTATCAATTTTATTTATAGAAACTTTCTTCCTAAAATAAAACATAAAAACTTCTTAGAGGTAACAAGAAAAAGAAATACTTCTACAGTCTTAAATGCTTTCAAAGATAACAATATTGACATAAGGAATGTATTTTAATTTTTACATAGAATTTAATATCTGATATCGCTTAAACATATCAACAAGGTTCTTAAAGAAAGTTGCATAATCTAGAATCAATATACCATCATATATAAATTTAACTTTCTGCGGAAAGGAACTTGGAAAAAAAATGAATTTGTCTGAGTTTGTTCACAACTATTCAAAAGAGAATATTTTCATATTGCAGGGTAGATTAGTCCAGAAATTTTTCTTGTCTCTGAAGCCATTTTAAATTAAAAACTACTTTATGATTATTAAATTATGATCCAAATCCTCTCAGTTGAGAAAGACTGCAGTACGGTCGTTAGAGTCATGGGCTAGTGGACTGGCAGCAGATAAGGATCATGCTGGAAGCTAGAATCAGCCTGCAAGGCTGCCGCAGATGAACTCCAAAGGATGATAAGGAAACGATATAAGATATAAGGAAATGTAAGGAAACTGTAGACATACACACTAACAGTAACCTCGGTCACTCTGTGTCTATTGTTCTCCCTTTGTGTATTTGATTTAGTTTTTTATACGGTGGCCAGTTTTTCAAAGTCTCCCAAAGTCCGTAGTCTAATTATCTTCCACTTCTTAGCATATACAAATGTTTTTTGTTTCTATCACTCCCAGGCAGAGCTGCAGTCCCACTGAGGTGTTAGTAAATTCATCCACTAGAGCTGGGTGGCAGTTCAAAAGTGCACTGCACATTGATCTCTGAATTCTAGGGCAAATATTTTCAATGCTCAGAGTAAACTTCTGCTTGAAACTACTCTGGTTTTTCTTTCCTCCTGGTCTCTTTGATTTGTGCATCAAGCAGGTTCTTGAACATTTGTTTTGCTTTATACATGGCTATTATTTTTCTTCCCTGAGTAACAAATATTGAGAGTCTTATTTTGATTATTTGACCTAGCCATTAAGTCTTTGTTGGGCAGTACACAGCTGGGAACCTCATTTCTGTCTTCTTTTCATTTATCTTTAAGTATTTTGTCTTAAAGCTTATGGTATCTTCTGATATGCCCTATATTAACTATCAGTTGAACAGCACTGTAATATCAACCTTAACACCAATATCAGTCCCATTGAGACAATTTTGTAGAAAAATGAAATAAGATATAGATCAGTCTCAGATCAAAACAATTTCACAAGAAATATTCACTGAAGATCCTTTTGACTACATGATCTTCTTAATCCCAAGTAACCTCAACTGACTAAGATTTGCTGAGACAAAGATAAATTGTACTCTGTATTTACTCTTGATCTATAACTAAAGATGTGTAACTGAGGCTGCTAGTTCTACTTGTGTCTGTGTGTATAAATAAAGAACAATATTTTCCCCTTCTCTCAAAAGGAAAGGAGCTAATCTTGTAAATGATTTTGGAACTGTAGTTCTTTTTTTATTTTAAAGAGAGTAGTAAATGAGAAACAAACAAAAAATAGAACAG